AATCAAACTTCAGTTTTCCTTATTTTTTGGGGGGTGGGATGGGTACCGGGAATTGAACTCAAGACCTCACACTTGCCAGGATGGCGCTGCAAAACCTTCGTTTTATTGTTGTTGTTGAACCTGGACTCAAACTCATGACCTCATGCTTGTCCGGCAGGCATTACACCGCTGAGCTATATCCCCAGCTAAAACTTTCGTTTTGAGGAAAGAAAAAAATAGACAGTAACTCATGTTGATAATTAAAAAAAAAAATTTAATGGCACTAGAAAGTTCTATTAAAACCGGTTCACCATCCTAGAATTACATAACATTACATTGTTTCTTATTTCATGTGATTTATGATTCTGAGGTGCCCAACATACTTATAATTCAAACCAGTGATTATTTTTCCAATAAATGAGTGGTATAATTTTACTTAAAATAGCTTACACTTAGAGTTCTACAAAACACTGTACTCAATGTACAAAAATAAGTGCTTGATGTGCACTATTTAATACTGTTTTTCTTTCTTTCTTTTGGTACCTTAGCTAGCATCACATAAATAAAAATAATAACAAATGGAGAGACCAGCAAGAGGTTGTTTAACATCAAGTTAGAAATGAATTTCACAGACAGCTTTCATTAAAAGGTAAAGGATAACAATATCTGGCTATTTTGTAGTCAGAAAAATAGAAAACAGAAGAGAGTTCCATGAGGAAATAGTAATAAAAATCCCAATAATTGCATTAAGGATCTAAACCAGCAGCAATTATGTTTGATTTGAATGATATATATACAGCTTGGGAGCCCAGCGGTCTCTTAGGAATTAGAATAGAAGACAACAAATTTCGAAGTGAAACCATAGACATGTAAAAAATATATATTCAAAGCAAATCAAAAAGTGTAAGCATAGTTAAGGCTTGCCAGACAGGTTTTTGAATTTTATAAACAAGCATATTTAGCTAACAGAATAGCTAATGGCAAAGTTCTTTTCAAGTAAATAGGAGGAAGTGTGGTAGTTCCAACCCATTAGCATCATAAATCAGTGTGTGGATTTGTCAGCTCCAAGTTGTGAAACTTCTGACCCTTCAACTAAACCTTTGTGCTTTTGCATAGTTCTTTGTGTTTCTCAGGAAGAGAATAGTTGAAAACTTGTTTTACTTAAATAGCAATAATAGGACAAGTATTAAATTCATATTTTAAAAGGACGATACCAACTCACGGCTTGGCAGTAGCAGTGGAAATTTAATGTTTACAATGAACTTGATTTGTTTTAGGGACTGTGGCCAAGTGACAAAGCTGCCAGCTGAAGCAATGATGTCCAGCTTTGAAAAATTCGGAAGAGACCATTGAACTGTGCTTGTTGAAGACAGAAACAAGACCTGTATTTGTATTCACAGTTGCTAGTACAAGAGAAAGCACTAATGTGCTTTATTACTTTAAATAATATATTACTTTTGTGCTTTGTTACTTTATAGTAAACTCAGACTGATCAACATTACACAAAGGATAGGTTAATGGGTTAATAACTCTCGAGCTTTTAAAGTTTAGTTCTCAATATTAGTAAAGCAAATAAAGGAAGGGTAAAAATTCTCCCAAAAGGAAAAAAAAATCTATCCATCATTTTCATTAAAATCGTAAATGCTGTATATAAGATGATACAAAGAGTTTTTGTGGAGAATAATTGATAAGTAAGATTAACAGTGAACTTAAAAGCAATGAAATTAGTAGCTGAGAATGACCGTGAAACAGATGGGAAAAAGAAAACATTTTTAAGGTAAAGATTGACATAGGAAGCTCTTTCTGATTTGAAGTGTAAGTAGTTTGGGTTAAGGAAAGGAGGGACCAGCTAATGCTGAAATCTACTAAGGTCTCCATCTGTACAGGTCAAGCAGATGCGCCCAGGCTCCAACTTTCTTTTCACCCCATGCCTAACCTGGCCTAACGGCCACCAGCTTTGCCAAATGAAGGCAGAACTCAAGCTTTTCAGTCCAGAGGGAATGGAGGAAGAATTAGGACAAGAAACAGACTGGAGAAAGGTGAGGACTAGGTTGAGGGCGACTTGGTGGGGAAGGTGACGCCTTCCTTCCCATTCACCCTGCTCCTTCAACTTAACCTCAATTAGTTCCGAAGAGGAAAATAATATTGCAACCGTACGACACTAAACAATAGTAAACAACAAATGAAAATGAGAGGTCATTGGATAATATGTTGTCTAATTTATGAGGCATTTGGGAGTGAAAGGGGCATTGCTTCAAATTCTAGTAGAACAGCCATAATCCAGGACTGCGTTGGGAAAGCAGAATGTGGCATCGACTCAGAAAGATGTTGCTCAACCTGAATGGGGTTGAGAGTTTCTGGTCAAGAACCCAAAAGTTCTTGTGGACAGCGCCTTTTTTTTCAGGTGCTATTTCTTGGTCTCTTCTCTTCCACTTGGCCCAGTAGCATATGTGTGGAGAGGCCAGGGCGTATTCTTTTTCATTTTTCTTTTAGAATAGGAGGAAAGTCTTCAGGAAACAGTACAGAAATGTTCCACATTTTCCTCTAGGAATACTTAAATAAATGAAGACTTTTAGTTTCCAATTTTGTTTTTCAATCTAGACTGGTTATTAATTTCTGTTCATTTTTGAGTATAAGGTTTAAAAAATTCTTTTCTACAAAACTGAGAACTGTTTGTGATCTCCTCCAACTGAGTCAGTGTTCAGAGTATACATTGTTCTGTATTCTAACGGTGTGCGTTCTACTTTTGGTATAACACTGTAAAGAAAAAAACTAGCTTTTAACACACTGGCCATTTAGGGGCAATACAATGTTCTGTATTTAGTTTTTTACATAATAAAATTTAAGGATTTACTCCATAAGTAAAGATGTAGGGCCTGGGATTGAGACAAGATTTTTGTTTTCCTAAACCATAAGTATGGTTTGATTTGCTTTGTTTTCATGCTGTTCTCAGATTGGCAAATGAAAACTCAAGTTTAGTACAATGAAGTGAAATTTTAGGAGCAGACTCGAGAATTAGCTTAACATAACCCAGCTGATAAAGGATGCATGTCAGGTAGGAATATTTGTTGCCTAGTTTCTGTCATCCAACAAATGTTTAAAATTTATGATGTAATATTAATATTTTAAAGCATTTATGACAAGATTTTTATATACTATTATAATTGAAACTTCAATTCATCTTTATGACTTCTACCTACAATAAGTAATAGTATGTATTTATAAAATATAAAAAGTATCAGGTCTCTATGATAATTTTTAGATACGTTTTCACCTACCCCAAGTATTTTTATGAGTATTTTTATGAATTCTAGGAGAAGATAAATGATCTGACCTTATGTGAATACTGATACATTATTCACTTCTTGTGAATAAATTACCTTTAAGAAATCTTCAGTAGGGCTGTAGCTGATCAATCACAATAAAGTCTATCAAACTTTGTAGCTTTAAATACAAAGAAAATGTACCCTAATTATTAAATTCCTATCTTGGCTTTTATTCTACAAATGGTACCCTGGAGAATCTTCTTGACTATATCGATTATAGTCATGATCCAGTTGTGCAAGGCATAATAATAGAGTCATATAAAATATACTGAAGATTAATATAAATTCAAAATTATATTTACATAGTATTTTGTGAATCTTTATCATTGGAATAATTTTTTAAAAAAGTTTTTTGAGTGATATGAAACCTAATTTTCTACATAGCTATCATCAATACATAGCTATAGTTCGATTTTTAGCCCACCTTTAAAAATTTAATGACTGTGATTTGGAAATACCTTCTGCTAGATTTTTTAAAATCAATATTTTCTAAATATGAGGTGGTTTTCTAGTAACGTTTTGGGTACTGTTACCCAAACACAGCGTGGTTTGGCTTCTAGGAGAATTTCGTTTTGTTATCATGGAGTTTTATTTTTATTGGTCTTCTTGATATGTTAAGGAGGAGGGAGAAAAGTACAATGATTTGAAAAGAAGCAACAACTTGTACAGGCGAGAAAGAGATAGGATATCTCTGCTGCTCTAGTTCCCCCTATTTAAGTAGTGTTAGGCTATTTTTAATCATCAATAAACTGTTAAGGGCCAAAATTTAGTAACCCAATTCTGCTTTAATAGGTGCTTCTAAATTATTGATTTGGAAGTTTTGTTATTTTCACTTGGTTGCCTGACTAATTTTTAAAATGAAGAAGTAGGAAGTAGTCAAGTAAGAAAAGAGAAGAAATTAGGAAAATGTTGAACAGGTACTAATTTAATGGAACTTCAAAATTTCAAATGCATCATAGGAAGACTTGCTCTCTATTTCTTTACTTAAGGACAGTAAACAAACACCTTGGCATAGTAGACACACTGGCACGTTCATGCATCTGTTCTAATAGAAACTAAGTCTTCTCTGGATATCACCAAAATAAGCAAAATGTCAGTGAAAACCAAAACCATATCTAGGCACTTGTAATAGAAATCAATCCTAACGAGGTAAATGTCATAAATTATATTTTCCCTAAAGTAATGATAAGAGGTTCTAGGGGTAATTTTCTTGACACTTAGTATTTTTCTTTTAATGTTCAGATCTCAACTCTTAATTTTTTTAAAAAACATATAGATCTTATCCAGAACAATACTTTTACTCATGACATTTCTGGATTGACTAATACATTTTCATTTTAAATAATATAAACTTCTCTGGATTAGTCCCTCTGTTTGATACTGACTGAATGTAAATACTTCCCTTTGCTATTTGTATTCAAAGGATCTAAGGGAAATCAAAACCTTTGTTTCTGCTGGGTGTCCTGCTGCACGCCTTTAATCCCAACACTCAGGAGGCTGAGGCAGGAAAAGCTCCAGTTCAAGACCAGCCTCAGGTACATAATAACTGTGAGCTCTTCCTGGGCTGCATAATGAGACGAACTCTAAGA